AATAAAGTTATATTTAATTTAATTTTTATTATAAACCTTTTCTTTAATACTTTTCTTAAGTTTATTATAAAATTATTTAATAAAAACAGGCTATTTTTATTTAACTTTAAAAACTAAGTTTTTAAATTTTATAATATAATTAAAATATTTTCTTTTTTAATAAATATTTATAAGTTTATTTTTAGCTATTTAAATTTCTTTAATATTTTTAAATACTTTAGTAAGTTTTTTTTTAAATTATTTAAAGTTATTAAAAACTTCTTAAACTTAAGTTAATAAAGGTTCTTTTAGGTTATTAAAATAAGTATTCTATATAAGGCAAAACTATTTAAAAGCAGTTTTTTTAAAGCAAGAGAATATAAAAAAAGTTTTTATATTTTATATTAAAAGTAATTTTAAAATCTTTAAAGTAAACCTTAAGTTAAGTTTAAAAAAAGTAAAGTTTATTAGTCTTATTATTAAATATAAATAAAGGTTATTATTTAATAAATGCCTTTATATTCTTTTTAATAAATTTTTTATTATTAAGCTTATTTATAAAAATCTTATTTAACTTATATATATTTTTTATTAATTTAGCAGCTTTATTACTATTTATATTTTTTTAATTAAAGGTTCCTTTTATAGTAATATTTTTATTATTATTTTAAATAAAAAAAAAGTTTTTTCTAAAGTAAGTTATTTTTTAGTATTATTTTAAAATATAGTAGTTTAATTACTTAAAAAATCTAAAATATTTTTTTAAATAAAAGTTATTAATATATAATATTTTAATCTTATACCTAGTATAGGGTAATTAATTCCTAAAGAATAAACCTTAATATTAGGTTTATATTAATAAAAAAATATAAAGGATTTTATAAGCAGTTTTAGTTATATAGCTAATAATTTTAAATAATAATTTAATTTAGTTATTATATAAATACTATATTAATAATTAATTATTTAAGCTATATTTAATAAATATAATAAACAGTCTTATATAGTAAGTTATTTTATAGTTATTATTTATATAAGTTTTATTATATTTAATAAAAATACTTCCTTAAAGTTACAGTTTTATTTTATAGATAAATATATACTTAACTAAAAGTATAGTTTTTCCTTTTAATTAATTACTTTATCTATAGTTTACCCAGAGGTATATACTAGAAGAGAGCTTATGTAGTTGGTTTATAATATTATCTTTATTCTAGTACTTTAAGGCGCTAATTTAATACTTATTAATAATATTTTTTAAGTTATTAAAAAAAGTTATTAAATTTTCAAAATTTAAAGGTTTAAATAACTTCTTTAATTTTTTTATAGCTTTAATATATAATTTTTAAAGCTTAAGGTAGTTATAAAGCTACTTAATATACTATATTTTCCCTAGATTACTGGCTTTAGGGTTATAGTAGCAGCAGAGGTTATTTATAGTGCTTATAAACTATATTTTTATTACTAGAAAGCCTTTTTATTAAAGCTATATTATAAAAAAAACAAAAGCTTTATTTTTATTATTTATTAAAGATTATAGCTGCCCTGGCTAGCAAGGTATTAAATTAAAGGTTTTAAGTAAAGAAAGGGCCTGTTAAATAGCTAAATAGCTTATATTAAATATTATAGCAGCAGTATAAATAAAAAGTTATTTTTTATTACTTTTATTATAAATTTAAGGCTTATTGTAATTTTCTAGGATTACAGCAGTGGCCTTAAAGATAATAAAAAGCTTAGCTATTTATTTTAATATTAATTTTATATATTATTATATATTATTGTTTTTATTTATATATAAAATAGGTAGGGTTTAAAACCAATGGGTATATTTGTTTGTTAGCACGGCATGGAATATTTATTTAAGTTTGGAGGATGATAGCTAATTTCTAGCTAGTTGTATCCCAGCTTCTTTGTCGCCTGACAATTACCCCAATAGCTATAGTTTTTATACCTGCTAGTTATTAAATTATATTAGCTTTTATTTAATATTAAATATAATATTATATTAAATATTTATAAAATAACTTTTTATGTAAAATAATTTTATAGTTTAATATAATATATAATACTATAAAATATATTAATTGAAATATAATTTTTAATATAAATAATTAAACTTTATATTTTATTATTAATAAAACTTTATTATTACTTTTTAAATATTTTTAAATAAAAAATACTATAATTTATATTATTATATAATTTAACTATATACTAAATTAGAATTATATATATATTTATAATACTATTATTATAATAATATACTTGAATTTTATTTGTATATAGAAATTATTTAATATATTTTGTAAATACTTATTTATACTCGGGAAATTATTTATAAAATATAGTTATTATTAATATAATATTACAACCTAACCTCTTAAGGACTATAATACAGTATATACTGCAGAATAACTCTAGATTATACAGCCAATTATATAAGGACCGATCTAGGAGAGTAGGCCTGCCTACTAGCCTAACGCACGCAAACAGTCCTTAATATATTAGACTAATAAGCAACAGCAGTCCCTAAAGAACAACTTACTATAGAAGATAAAGATAGTTATACTTATAAAATAGCTTAAATAGCTAGTTATTAATAATATATTAATACCGAATATAAGTTATTGTAATAATCCAGGTTAACAGGGAATATCTCGCTAGCGGTCTAGTAAAATAAATTATTATTATAATGCATTACTTTATAAAGCAGAGAGGATAGGATATTTAATATTAAATATATTATATAAGTTATATAGTTAGTAAATAAAATATAATTTATATCTAGTATTATTATATTATTAACAACTAACTATTTAAGCTATTTAATAAGTATATTCTATCTGACTTATATAGTAAGTCGTTTTATAGGGACCGCTATAGCCCATCGGTCCTTTATCGTAAGGACCGCTCGCGTACATCAGTCCAGTACGTAAGACCGCTCTCACAGGTCGGTCCTCTTCTGATTGGCTGTTCGTTCCGAGGTTATCCCGGGGTACATACTGCGTTATAGTTCTTAAGAGTCAGGTTATAACAGTTATATCTTAACCACTGACTATATAATAACGCTACGCGCTTAATCGGACATTTTATCCTATCTGCTAACAAAAATATTTATATCTATCCCTTGGGAATCTGCCTAACCTGCAACAACCCTATAGGAACGTGGGAACAATATGTCACATATAGTATATGTAGATAGAATTCTATATAGTATATAGCCACGCAGGTAGTATAATAGTTATATATTTAAACTGAGGCTTAGAGAGAAAGGAAACAATATGCAGTATACCAAGAAGCTTGAGGGAATTACAGGGGATTCCCAAGTGAAGCCCTAATTACCCAATCGGGCTAGTCACCTAATAGGGAATCCTTGGTTATTTCGACTAATCAGGATCTTGTACGGAGTATGCTCCCGCAATATTCGGCGCCCCCCTGCTAATCGGGCAACCGCCGGAACTGTCTTGGGATTTCCGATTCCAATAGCTAAGTAATTTTATTATAATACCTAGTACCATGTCCGCTGTTAGCAAGTTACGTTAACCATGCTTAAACTGCAGACTTTTGCAAGTAGCGACTGTAAAATTTCCTCGCGCCGTTCCTGGCGTGATAGCGCCAACTAACCATGCTTGTCATCCTATAGACTATAAGTCTATAGTCGGGAAGAGTCAATAGCGTCATTTTACCTTGATAATTTCTTGTATTAGCGTTAACTAGTTTAGGTCCCAGTAACTCAGCTCAGCCTCATTTCAGCTGGGTGCCGTGTCCCTATGGGGCACCTGAATCATCTCCTTTTCCGCTGCCCATTAGTGCTCTTTTAATACTGTGCAGGGTCTTCTTAGCACGCACTAAACGCATTACCTCGCCTACAAGACGAATAAATCTGCCCAATTAACTCAAATCAGCTTTGCAGAGAAGAGAAGACAAAATAACATAAACAAACAGGAAAACAAAATAGAGAATATCCACGCATAATTCTTACCCCTTTATTCGGCACTGATCATGACAGTCATCGCTCGTCCTATGACCTCACAGTCTATGCCTAGAAGAGAAATACTAGTCACCGGCGGCGCAGGCTTCATTGGGTCAAACCTAGTCGAAGCCCTCTTAGAAAAAGGCTGCTGGAAGGTTATCGTTGTGGACAACTTTGACGACTTTTACTCCCCCGAGGCTAAACGCGCAAACATTGCCGTACATCTTCATAACTCTAACTTCAAATTGTACGAGATTGACATACGGGAGCCCATTTCTCTTCGCGCAGTCTTTGCCGACAACAACATCTCTGCTATTGTGCACCTCGCGTCGCGGGCTGGCGTACGGCAGTCGCTTCAGCACCCAGCTTCATACATCGACACCAATGTCACCGGTACTTTGAACTTGCTTGACTGTGCCAGGGATTTCGGCGTGCGGAAGTTTCTATTCGGATCATCATCAAGCGTATATGGACTCAACTCAAAGGTTCCCTTTTCAGAGGAGCACAAGACGTCTCAGCCAATCTCGCCGTACGCAGCGTCCAAGGCAGCCGCCGAACTCCTTTGTCATACCTATTCCCATCTTTACGGGATTCGCTGCATTTGCCTAAGATTTTTCACTGTCTACGGCCCTCGCCAGCGCCCTGACCTTGCCATTTACAAATTTGCCAAGCTCATTTGTGACGGCAAGCCGATTCCTGTCTTTGGCGACGGGACCACCCGCCGAGACTACACGTATGTAGACGACATCATACAAGGTGTTTGCGCTGCCATCGACTACGAGGGCTCTCAGTACGAGGTTTTTAACCTTGGAGAATCGCAGACCATTGAGCTGCGCGAATTGATTGGCCTGATTGAGAAAAGCCTGGGGCAAACCGCAATTCTCGATAGGCGCGAGGCACAACCAGGTGATATGTCAATCACGTTTGCGGACGTCTCAAAAGCCAACAAGCTACTAGGATATAAGCCCGAAACCAAGATTCACAATGGAATTCCAAAGTTTGTTCAATGGTTCTTGTCGCAATATTATTGTACAGCGTAAAGATGTGTCAAGTTTATCTTGTATTGTTATATGCGCTCTTACACGAGGGTGGCTTTAGAAGAGAGAAACCAATCGGCTAGATAATATACACGAGCTTTACCTTATTTATAGATATGTACATTAATTTTAGACAACAACTTTGAAAAGATGAGTGAGCAAAGCACACACACTCAACTGAATGGTCCCCCTGCATCGCGAAACACTTCATCCCACCAGTGGTCGCCCGGCTGACGAAGTGAATCATCCGCATACTGACAAATGTCCTGGAATCCAATCTTTTTCAAGGGAGCCTGGGCTGAGTCACCCATTAGTCGTGGACGTCTATCCAACTTCTCAGCTGTCGCAGCCCAGTATTTGACACCACCGTCCTCAATCTCTACCGTCGCCAATGGTGCTTCAGTTCTTCTAGGTGCCAGGTGGATGGCAAGGAGTTTCCGCAAGTGCTGGTGGAACCAAGGCTTGTCCCACCAAGAGGTTCGTCTCTCTTTGAACCCATTGTGATGGACAATGGCAGGAACAGATTCGGTGAAAAAGTCGGCATATAGCTCCATCTCTCCCCAGTCTGGTGATTCAATCACATCGGTGAGCGGATTTTTTGCCGACTTGACATCCTCTGGAACACCTTTGAGCCGCACAGGGGATATGCCCAATGCCTCGGAGTGTGCATCAATAGCGGACTGATTGTTTAGTAAAACAAAGGCTCCATCAAATAGTCCGTGATCAGTATCTGTCCAAAAGGTCTGGATGGACAGCTCTTGGCTATAGTCGAGCCCAAAGTGATACTCAAAGTCCCGATCCATTAGAAATTTCGCGTCATTGTCATAGACGACTTCTTTCATGGCTCGCTGCCATTGTCGCCAGATCTCTTGCTCACCAAGCACTTCTCCAGGAATGCCTTGTTCGCTAAACAAGTGGATGCCTTGGCTAAGGCCTGCTTCCATCTTCTGTGCGGCACGGCGAAACAGTCGCCTCATGTCACCGGCGGGGCCAATGTAAACACCTCCGTTGATGTACTTTGGGCGATGATCCCGGTGCTTTGTTGCATCCTTTTCCGTGTTTGGACCGTACAGGTCTGCTCTCAATGGGCTATCAGGCAATCTTTCGCAGTGCATATTAGAGCCCGAGTCCGGTTGCGGGTGGCAGTTTTTCCCCGACGCTGCAACGATGGTCTGTCGCATGGGAATAGGCTCATCTCTGCCCCACTGTTGCTGTAGTCTGATATTGGCTCTCTTATTGATCTCATGGTATCTTCTCAGAAGAATATCCGCGGGGAGTTGGAACCAGACGTCGTAGGCATCAACCATAAGCACAAGGTCGTCTTCCTCTAGCTTCTCGTCGGGATGGGCTTCCGGATGCATTGCCGCATCGAGATACTTCACAAATCCCGGGATCTTAGGGAGGTTTTGGCCGCCCTCCCATTTTGTTATCGTGTGATAGTCTACCCCCCAGTTGATGATTATCGGGCTTGGATAGCCAAGAGCGAGGGCGGTCACTATTGTCTTACATAGATCCGGGCTCGGCGACGTAGCAGGTATTACCAAAGCGAAGCGGCGGTCTCTTTGCTGCTCTTGTGGTATCTCCAGTTTAGAGCTATGGCTATCAATAGGGTCCACATGCTTTATTGATTCAGGTGAAGGGGTCGGCTCGGCAATTTCTGCAATAGCAGACTCGGGCGTGAGGGTTGGCTTGAGACCTTTGGTCATAACATCAAGCTGCACATTATCTGGCTCAGCAGTGCTCTCTGGAAGAGGAGACAAAATCTGGCTGCTGACGTGTTTGACTTGGACAGTTTGAGTGCTCAGATGTTGCCCAGTTTCCAATGTCTGATTGCCTTGTAGATGCTCGAGGGTGTGAGGGACATTGAATGTTGCCTTTGTATACGACATAAAAACGATGAGCGACAGACTCAACACGATGAACAGCATGGTGACTCTCGACAACTTGCGAAAGCCTAAAGCGACTGAAGATTTAAGTATCTGAAAATCCAAGCCATGATGCCTTCTCACCCACTGATACATTGTGTCCGATATGGCACGGGTCAGGGTCGTTAATCTCATTCACATTCTCTCGACTTGCAAGGTAAAAAAAGAATCAAGTTCCAATATTTCCTGTAGCGCCTATGAGATAGGGGGCTAGTCTAGGACCTGATCGCTAAATATGCTACCCACTTTAATATTGGCCTGGAGCTGAATTGTGCATGTGGCGGCCCCACAGGCCCAAACTTGCTGTTTAACTGGCAGATGGTTCAGAGTCCATTGGTGGCTGTACTTGGCCCGAATTTAAATTTAAAATACATTACTTCAACTAAACTACAAATAGTCAAGCACAAGTTAAAATTATATATTGTATAAAATTAAATCTTTTAGAAATATTCTATTTCTTACTATCTTCTTCCTCCTATCTAATATCTAGTATTTATTAACTTTCCTAATTTTAAGTAATATTTGGTATTTATAATTTAAGTTAAAAGTAATAAATAAAATATTTAGTTTATTAAATATAAATTAACCACTGCAAAAGTCAGAGTGCGACTTATTATCTAATAGCCAGGAAAACTTGTATATTATATTAGTCTGTCTTTCACCCTCTAAAAGGGAAACTACTGCCACAAAACTCAAGATATACCTCTTGGACGACCTCTAAGTTAAGTACCCTATTAACAACTTTCCTCAGTGTGATCCTCCACGTCGCGAATGGTCCAAAAGCAGCCTGCACCCGCGCGTAGGCGTTGCTGCTTGATCAGTCTGAGGGCAGCACCTGGAACACTGTCGCAGCTTCCTGCTTTATATCGGTCGTCATCTTGACCCGCTGCCTGTCGTACTGGAAGGAGAGGCGGATGGGCGCATGCTCGAACGAGAAGCCAATGTCGTCGGGGTCGGTGATGCTCTCCCTGCCCTCGTGGACCAACTCGACGCTGAGTTCCCGACGGCCGCCAACAATGATCCCCCCCGGCAGCCAAGTGCGCAGCTGAGAGATACGAACATTCGAGGGTCCCGCACACGGGCCCTGTGAGAGTGTCGTGCTGCGCGTCACAGCGGTGCTAAGGCCAATAATCTGCACGCTGTATACCTTGTGGCCGCTGGCGTCGGGGGCGCCCAGCTGGAGTCTGTCGCGCTCATCATTAGGCAGGCGGTATAGAATACCCGTGTCTAAGACAACGCAAGGCTAGATGGACTGCAAGAAAGAGCTGAAGCGCGAGATAGACAACTCGTACTCCCGTGCAAGAATACCCAAGTGTGCCTGAGCTGGTCAACATTAGACAGTAGCGAGGGCGAGCGGAGCTTTATGGTCGCGCGGAGACCCCAGAATCGCAGCGCCAGGGCACTTTACTTAATGGCTCTTAGGATCGAGATACGCAAATCGTTTCGCAGACGCTGGTAGTATCCGACAATAGATAGGAGGCCCCGATGTTGCTTGAGCTCGGATCCCAAGCGCTCCATCTGTTTCTGGACCAGGGTCTCATTCTTGATTTATTGATGCAGTGTGATAACGCGTTGTTGTAGGTCAGGATGTTTTGGTTACACACCTTGGTGATCATGACAAATTCGTCAAGCGGTACTTTTAAATTCTCTCATTTGCTGTCCGGTAGCTTGTCTCTAAACTGCTTGAGGAAGTTTTACAGCTGGGCCTCAGTGACTGCCATCTTTTACATGTAACTTTCGTCAACCGATCTGCTTCCGTCATTCTTCATCATATAAGCAGTCTTGAGCAAGAAGCCAATATCATCCTCGCTGCTGCCCAGCTCGTTAATCAGGTACTTCTTGTTAATGGACTGTCAATTTGCATCCTTTATCATGTCGCACATCTCGTCCTTTAGAGAACCCACTTGCTGAGCTCCAGCAGCTACCGCAATAGCTGCTGTACTCCAGCCGACGGGATTAGAGGCAACAAAGGCCACAACGATCACAACGGAAGCAACAGCGGCGATTGTTGTACCGATAATTGGCCACTGCCAGCTTTCGAGGTCTCCTTAACCACATAAAGCGCATTCTGCAGCTTATCTCTTTTAGCCGCAATGTCGTCTGCAGCCTTCTCAATTTCATTTTCCATGACTTTAATAGTATTAATGGCTCTTATTATCTCATCGTTGGCTTGTTTCCAACAAAAGATATTTCTGACACGGGACTTCTAAAGGCTCCAGCCCGCCTCCATCTAATCCTGGTAAGCGTCATAGAAACTCCAGCACGACATCTCATATCAGCTCGGAGAAGGCAGAGCAGTACCAAACGCAGTTTATCAGCTACATAAGAGCTTCATCAAGCTCGCCGAGTCCAGGGTGGTTGCTGCCAGCGTAGGACTCTCTCAGACCGGCTCAAACACGACCGCGCCCGTCAAGATGCCTGAAGCGCAGCCAGGCGTCCCATTCTGGCTTCTCGCATGTGTGGCAAAGGCATGAAGACAGATGCTACAGCTACCAGCAAGTCCAAGGCTCTAGCTCCCAAGATCCCCACTGGGCCATCGGGAAGCATCCCAGTACTAGAGCCCGTGCCTGTTGGTGACGTCCCTCCTCGTCCCGTGGCCCCACCAGTGGGAGGTACTCCGGCGCCGTCATCTGGCTACTTCTCCAAGCTCAGCGGTGGGGTTCTGATCGGAGGTCCTGGTATCGAACCTGCGGCTCCTGTTGTTCCCTCTAGGAATCCGTCAATCGCGATTCCTTCTCGGGCTAGCTCCATCGTTCCGGACGGCCCCAAGGTTCTGTTCTACCTGATCAATGGTGGACAGGAGGTCCAGGTTGTTTCTAGCCCATCGCTACAGTTGCCGCCTCGGTTGGCTGCGGCGAAGGCGAAAGGTCCTGTGACAGACCACGAGTGATGCTTCCACCAGGCGAGACCACCCAGCTATCTCAATGTGTATCTGCTCAGTCAGGTCAAAGTGGCTGCCAAGAGTATTGGAGCTAGCTCAGAATCCCTGACCAGCTGAAAACGCCAACTACTCTTGGATTTGCCTCTAGAGGTCTACCAGCCACCGTAATCCTGCTAACACTAGGTCCGAGCATATGAATAGGTTCCAGTGGAGATAAACTCAATGAGTATATCTCACAGTTTTTCGCACATACTGTAAATAATATGTATGAGGATGTCTTGACAGGCGGTTCAGGGGTTTCGCCAGCCTTTAGCCCTTGCGATTGTAACCTCTACCGTTGTGGTCTTACACCGTCCCTTCACCAAAATGCCATCCATGATATCTTCTTACCCAAAAGTTGGCTTCCAGTCGGCCAAGTGCATTGCTCGAATGTAAGTAATGCACGCCTCTAGAAAGGCTTGCTTAACACAAAAGATGTTAAAGGGTGCTTGAGTTCTTATGGATTAATAAGCCCAAAAGTTCATCGAAAACCCGGCTTAGGGTATTCTTCTAATAGAGAGAAGTACATTCCTGCCGCTTTGAACGATTTTCTCCAGCTCAGAGGGAAGACAAAAACGGGAGCTGTTTCGAGCACCCTTTAACAGAGAAACATCACCTCGAAAGCGATAACCATATCGGACTTGAGAAGAAATCTTAGCATTGTTGGAGATCGTTGCTGACGATGCATTAAAGCACGCAGATATCACAGAGGCAAGTTCCCATTCTGCTTTGACAGAGGGAGCGAGGGTTAGGGTTCCAGACGCTTGAGACAATGGCAAACCAGCCCTTCCCTTCCCTCTTGTTTATTGGATGTAGTGCCTTTGGCATCGCAGTCAATAGGCACGTACAACCAAGATTGTGGTTAATCGATTGGGTACAAATTACGTTAGAAGCCCCTATTATATTCTAACTGGATGCGCAATCCAATGGCTTCTACAAGTTAATACATACACACCTCCTTAGTCCCCAGTACTGCCTTTAGTGTAGCCGCGAGGATAGAGCGCAACTGATTTGTCTGAGCCGAGGCCTTATGAGATAGAATCCATAGAATCCATTTGTTAATAAAGGAGGAAAGACGGAAACTTACAAGAGCTAATGGATTTATTCAGCTGAATTCTCAGCCCCGATGGGAAATGCTATCAACGTGTAAGCCATGTGCCACATGAGAGAATCCCAGGGAAGTTATGCCACCTTCAATCCCTTCTTCAGTGCCTACATAACATCGTTGGCGTCGCGCTTTGCAGAATCCCAGATCATGATGATAGAGTCGAGGCTCCTTTGCATCAGCTGGAAGTCGTATTCGCCCATTTCGATCAAGTCTTGCCGAACTTGTTTTATATCGGCCAGCTTGTCTTTCTTAACCTTGATCTCTGACTGCTTGTTATCCACGTCTTTTTGAAGAGCTGGGAGTATGGTTAGTGAGAACCATGTTATAGTTTCTTTTTCCTCGGTCCTCGCTGTGCTTCTAGATAGTGGAGGGCCAGGGGATGGAGAACCTACAATTAGCATAGGCGCCAAAGCCTGCCGCCGTGGTGGCTCCGATGCTGGCGACTAGTGCTCCTGCAACCTGAGGAAGTTAGATGTACAAACCCTTGCGACTAATGCTCTTGAGATGGGAGACATTCAGAGAAGTTAAACTTACAAGAATGGCGGGCAAGGACAATAAGCCCAAGAACACGGCCCCTAAGGCTCCGACCGCAAGACCAATACCCAGTGACTTCTTGGCGTCCTCTAAGGCCGCTGCGAGCTTGTCCTGGAGCGCTACAAGCTCTTCTTCAACCTTCTTGATCTCGACCTCGATGGCGGTCTGCTCAACCTTGGCGAAGTCTTTAAAGTCCCCCAACGAGCTTGTCACACTCGGACAAGAGATCCTCAAACTCCTTTTTCTGCTTCCCAGATTTCTCTGAGTGTTCTGCTGCTTGCTGCAAAGTTGAGATGTTAGTGGTCAGAGTTGATCGCAAAAGCGTTTCTCCTTACCTCAATATAGTCCCGAATCAGCTTTTTCTTCCGGTCTAGAGATATACTGTCATTGTTATAGAGTGGAAGAATTAGATCCTCAAAATCTGAAGGTCAACGTACTCCGATTAGCATGGCTCTTAGTTTAATGGTGGTCGACGGCGAATTTTTCCCTTAGAATAGCCGGCGATGTTCTGTGCAAGTGTCCGACTATTGTCAATTGCGGTGTTGAATTTCTGCCCGACAATGGTTAGTCTCTTTGGTGCATTTCGACTCAAAGCAAATCGTTTAGTTCCTTACCGTCTTCACATTCTCAAATCTGTCATGGAACTTTAAGCTACTATGAGCTTTATCATCCACCTCCTTCAGGTGCCTCAACATGGGGAAGAACTTGTTGCGGATACTCTCGATATCCTTGTTGATCCCATGAGCCACGGCCGGCATAATGGCCTTACCCTGGTCGGAGGATACCAGCTTGGCAATCTCGAGCGTAAGCTTCTCATTCTCCTCCTTTGAAAGGAACGAAAAGTCGAGGGGTTCTGGTTCGTCTTGGCGTTGACATCTGGAATACCTTGAATAATGGGCTTGAAGGAGGAGCTTCTTGGCTTGCGCGGTTTGTACAAACTCGGAGGCATAGCTCTTCACCTTTTGCATGACAGCCTCGTACGTGGGAAGTCCATCGTTAGACATAATGCCGACTGATAGTAAAAAACTTTAATGCGATGGGGAGGGAGGAAGACGAAATGATATCTAATGCTTATAAATATTTTATCTATAATTAATAAACATTAATTAATTGGATATAGCAGGTTTTAAGGTGATAGTAAAATAATAAATAGCTGGTAGTTAGATAAAAGTAATAGTTAGTAGTTATTGCATATTTACATTTATAACTAAAATTATAACTTGATATGTAAATGAAATGTTATAAACAACATAATTTAAAAGGCAGTATAATTTTTCATATATTTGACCTCCAGAGTGCAATACATAATTCTCTAAAGACACTGGGAATACCAATCATTCAAGTAGTTACACATGGTTCCTATCTGGCAACATGTTGGCCCTGACCATCCAATACCGCCACATTGGCTGTATCTGACAGAGCAGCCACCACCAACCGTTGTTGTAGTTGGAATAGTGGAGGAAGTTGTGATGGACGTTGTCGGTACACTGCTGCTGCTGCTGCTGCTGCCACCGCCAGTGCCGCTCTGCCCTTTCAAGCCCGGCTGGGTGAAGAAACTCCAAGTTTCTCCGGGTGCCCACGATTGGCTCTGGCCGGCGTCTTTGGGGTCTGGGACATGATCACCAGAATGAGCAATCCACCAGACTGGGAAGCCGGGTCTGCAGTCGTACGTTGTCTTGACGTGCGTGCCGGAGCCGCCGGCGGGCTCGGGAGTGTTCTTTGAAGCACAGCCGTTAAGCTGAAGAAACTTGTCGCGCAGACCTCGGCCAAGACTGATGGGGAGAACGCTGTCGACCACGCCGTGGATGCCGAGGTACGGGATTGGCGTGGTACCTCCGTCGCATCCGCTGAGCTGAGCCCCAGCGATAACGGCTACTGCCTTGAAGACATCTAGGATAACGTGTTAGTTGCGCTTGTAGAGATCACTCTTTGGCTGTCATACTTGGACGGGAGCAAGCTAGCTCGAAGGTCATAGCGCCTCCATAACTCCACCCCGTGGAAAAGACCTGGTCTTCATCGACACAGGTGTTGGAAGTTATATAATCTATCATCTGGTCGGTGAATGTGAGGTCTTCTCCTCCGCTATTGGCCCAGCCGTTGTTCAGGCCCTGTGGTGCGACGAAGATAGCTGTCTCCCGTGCTAAATCCCGCAGGCCATAGTAGCCGGGGGCGACATCATTCATAGTTCCACCACGCCAGTGGTACCCAAAAATGAGCTTGTAACCGGTGCTGGCATTGTAATTGGCCGGAAGCTGCAGGATGTACTGCCGCGTCTTGCCGTTTACTGTCGTGGATTTGGTGCCACTGCCGGTGCCTACAGCTTTGCCGCAGCCCGATGAGAGGGAAGCCACAGCCCCCTGCAAGCTGGCAGCAATGAGGATTAGGGCAAGGTTTCCGCAAGAGAGCATGCTGACATATAAGTTGGCGAGTCGCTGAGAAGGTAGCCCACGGACAGAGATCTGAGGCATGAACTTTTGCATTTGGGGGAGGGATTGTCCCTTTATATTAATCTAACCTCTATGAAATACTAAGAACAGGTTCTCCATACTCTTTGACTTATGTATTCTACTACAAGTCGCCAATAATAGTTCTGGAGATATTAAGCCCATTCTTCCTTGTGCAGTCACCTAGCCGCTATATAATGGATACGACCGTCTGGCCGCTTGCGATTGGCGCGCGTAGGCCATAGAGTCACCGCGCCCCGGCTCTGGAACCACTGTTCCCTCCCTGATCAGATAGCAGCCGGGCTTGTTTATGTTCTTTAGGATAAAGCCGTGATACAACTCGCCTAGTAGCAAATTAATCGGCAGACCTGATTGTTTAAGACACTTGGTATTCCTATAACAGAAAGGGTATTCACCATATATTATAGTATAAAAATTTAATTTTCACCAGAACCTACATCCCCTGTTGTTAACATACTACACTAGCCGGGCTGAAAAGATACCTGCAAATGAAATAGTTTCCAAGGAATACCAAGGGAATCTTAGTAAATTCAGGTTAGAGCAGTTGATGTATAATAAGCTTATTTGTTAATAGATAAACTAGCCGTTATTGTTGAATTTGGCCCGGATTAGGCTGTAATATAACTCGCATGATAGCAAATTAGCCGGCTGTGGTAAACCGGGTTGTATCTGTTAGAATAGGCTACTGTTTCTAAAAGACAACTATTACAATTCCAGGTTTATAAATTGCTAAGTCAAACCACCCCCTAGGTGGCCACCCCCGCAAAGTGGCTATCTTAAGTGTATTCGAAGAGGATAGGGAAAAAAACACTATAACAGCATTATAATAGGTTATTTTTATTGTTTTTTTATTCTAGTGAAAATATATAATAAAGGTCCTTAAATTTAATAGCTTTAGCTTTATTAAATGCTTCTGCATAATATTTTTCCTATTTTTATTTTTTATTTGTTTTAGTATTTATAAGGTCGAGAACCATTGTGCCAAGGGACGATTGAAATAACTAGTACCAGACTTTTACTTTGATCTTCTGTTAGTCTATCACACTAGTAGGCAAAATGTTAAGCTAGGGTTAAATTTGTAGCTATTAATATGATAAAGGTAACCATTTATAGGGGATAGGTTGTGTAGGGCAGTGATATTTAACGATGTTACGCAATAGTTTAGCACAGGAGATCGGTTTCATCCAAAACAATTCCCAGATACGCGCATTGGTTTAATTAAAGCGTATTCCGAGCTGTGGGGTATGAAGATGCATATTAACTTGCGTTCATCCCTGCATATTCATTCCCCGCAAGCCTATTGTGTAACGAACCGTATACTAGATAGTTAGTATAGGATAGATTCCCAAGGGATAAACCTAGAATAAGTTCTTTAGGTTTATATTAGCGAATAGGTTAAAAAACCTATAGGCAATAATATTATAATAATAATTACTAGTAAAGATTAAAAGTATTTTTTAATTTATAAATATAAAACTATATTAATAACTAGCTATTTAAGTTATTTAAATAAATATAAAAAGTAAACTTATATATTTAATTAAT